TGGGCCTGGAGCCTGCTTAAGATTCTCTCTCTCCCTCTCCATCTGCCCCGCCCCAGAATTCTCTCTCTTCCTCTGCCCCTCTGCCCTCTCAAAAAAATTAACGAAGCACCAGATTTTATATATTGTTTAATAATCACCTCAATTTTTAAATTTCTTCTCAATTCCATGTCAACATCTTCATTACTTTGAAAGTTATATTTGCCTGTTAAGGCATAATTCAAATTCTGAGGGTAGCCACCATCTAAACAGCTCTCCTAATACCGGATAGCTAAGCATCATAAAGAATCTTGTGTGAGTACAGAGTGCACTAGGATAAGATCACTGCAAAGTTATGAGTGTGGATTTTAAATTAAAATGACATGTCTATCAACATTCTTTGTTTACATTTATACCTATTATTTATTTTAATGTCTATTTCTCATAATAAATTCCAAAAAGAATATTTCTCAACAAAGTATCTTCCACCTTGCCCAAAAAATCAAGTTCATGAAAAGTATAGTAAAGATTGTTTGCAGTTTCTATAGATAAATTCTATGGATTTTGGTGATAGTATGATTTTATAAGCACTTTCATTGTTTATCATGTAAAGATCTAAATTCTACTGATCAATTAAATACTCAAGCATTCAGTATATACATACCACATAAAACCACTGTTGGAAAGACTGTGCTGGAAGAAGGGGTAAGTACATACATAAATAAGATCATTTACCTTTTAAGAAGAGTTAACTAAAACTATAATCAGAATATGATACATTTTATCAAAAAATACAAATATAGCAGTTTGGATATAGAGAGTAGAAAGTTTCAAATCCAAGCTGTCTGGCTCCACATTCCCTTCTAAAATGTTACTACACTGTCTGTCAAGAGTAGGTAAGTGATTTGTGAGATTACTAGATGATGAATAATGGCATCATAACTATAATGATGATAAAGCTTGATGTAGCGTCTACTGAAGCTCAAAGATAATCTCTCTGAAAATAAACAATATGAGTTTTATAATAATGATATGAGACAAAAATTTAAATTATTTTTGGTAGAATATTAATAATGGTTAAAGCTATTGAATACTTCTATATAAGTAAGGTATTATTGTAAGCTCTTTATATCCTCATGCAATCCTTGCAATAAATACGTTAAGTTGTGTTTTTACTGCTTTTACTGGTGATAAATTTAAGGTGATAAAATTATTTAAAATAATTATAAAAAAACAAAGAAATTAGTTAAGTTCAAACCTACATAGGATGAAAATGACAGAGACAAGGTTGAGGTCTGAACCATAGGTATATCAAATTTGTTATTTTCTGGTGTTTTGGCAATGTCATCCTTAGAAGCAAATCCGGAAGTTATTTTCTCCCTTTTAGATGTTGAAGGGACCAAAAATATAGTGCATCAAGAAAGTATAGTGACAGTAAGAATAAAATCACTTTCTAATGCTCCTGCCGAAGAGAAACAAGATGATTTCACCATCTCATAAATTATTAATGGGCTTGGTACGTGCATGTGAAGATCGGTTGACTTCACTGAATATATTATGCCCCTCTATGTATTTTATAACTACATGTAGATAGGATGAAAGATCTAAGAACTTGAGTATTCATTTTTTAATTCAAAATAGGAGAAATTAATGGAGGGACAAATGGATATAGTAGAGTGAGGTTAGATTCCAAACACAATACTGCCCTAACACTCCTATATTTATACAGGGTAAATCTATTCATCTAATTAAATAAAATAGATTTATATGCCCTAAATCGTATATTGTGTAGAAAATATAAAAGGAAAACATTGAGTTTGACTCAAAACTTTCCAAAATTAAATATACATATAGCATAAGTAATATCACAGTTAACATTGGATGCCCAGTTCTTTTATTTCTAATCATCTCATGAAAACATTTTTAAAGATTAATGTTGAACTGGGAATTATGATAGAATTTATTTCTATTGTTCTAAGTTAGACTAACAGTTGCCTTAGATGTTTCCATAGCAACTTCAAGGGGGAACATTTCAGAACACTTCCTTCCGGCAGGCATTTGAGAATATATATATGGACCGTCACTGTGTGAAATTTAGTCAAGAAACTCTCTCAGGGGCAAAATAATATTTTAAAACCATGTGTCACTTTGTACATTCTTTCTGAATTACAAAGAGTTTGGTCTCCACTCTGTTTCTGCCCACTCCTCAGGTGTTCTTCAGGCTTCATGATGTCTGGAAATTTTTTTACCTTCAAGATCTCAAAATCTGCCAAAAAAAAAAAAAAAAAAAAAACCTCAAAATCTGAAGTTCTATTTTCTGATGATAAACCTGTGTTAACATTTCTCATATTTCTTAGCTCCTACTGAATTCGATCATTAATTGATCATCAGTTGCCATTCCCTAACCCTGTGCTATTTTTGCTGTCCAACATTGGTGTTCTGGCTTTACTTATCTCTACCCAATGAGAAAAATTATGGTCAGCCATTTGAGGATCATCATTTTTTGCTATTTTGACATGCCACCTACTTACGACCTTCTGCCATTCCTGCTTAGCAGATCCTCAGTTTTGAGTCTCTCCCTGTTAATTCTGCCAGTTTCTGTTCCTAGATAGGTATGATGTTGCCAAATGATACTAATTAGAGTGAGCAAATGGGTGACTATGTAATTGATGTCTATTTTTTTTAAGATTTTATTTATTTATTTGACAGAGAGAGACACAGCGAGAGAGGGAACACAAGCAGGGGGAGTGGGAGAGGGAGAAGCAGGCTCCCCGCCGAGCAGGGAGCCCGATGTGGGGCTCAATTCCAGGACCCCGGGATCATAACCTGAGCAGAAGGCAGACGCTTAACGACTGAGACCCCCAGGCGCCCCTGTAATTGATGTCTAAATCAGAAACACTTTTCAATTTTGAAAGTGAAAGAGGATAATATAAAAGTGGTATAAACCAGCTCTGTCTCAGAGAAACTGGGGTGTGTCATCCCCAAAAAAGTAGACCTATTTTCTCATCTGAATAAGTCTTCAGTGATGCCTGAAATTCTTTTTAAATTTTTTATAAATATTTAGTCAATTCCTTATTAGACATTTCCAGTGTTAGCTCTAAGTTTGAGTCCCAAGAAATGAATCCTTTCGGGCGCCTGGGAGGCTCAGTTGGTTGGGCGACTGCCTTCGGCTCAGGTCATGATCCTGGAGTCCCAGATCGAGTCCCGCATCGGGCTCCCTACTCAGAGGGGAGTCTGCTTCTCCCTCTGACCCCCCCCATGCTCTCTCTCTATCTTATTCTCTCTCTCAAATAAATAAATAACATCTTTAAAAAAAGAAATGAATCCCTTCATCCATCCCAAGTTTAATTCAACCAGAATTCATTACTCTGTCCTTCCATTAGAGGACTGAAACCTCACCATGTCAAAATATCTTCAATAGTCATTTTCCTTGTGTGATTAAAAAAAGTCCTTTAATTCTTACTCAAAGTTCTATTCATTTCTTTTGGGGAGGATTGTGGGGCCAGGTGGTAGATGCTGGGTCCATCATAATTTCTTAGTTTTCTTCACTGATAATAGCCTCCCAGGATGTATGAAATGCTTCTTTCCAACCTGTAGACCTGGTCATTATCTAAGAGTTTCTCTGTGGTTTTATAGACATATTTCTGTGGAGGACTTACTCATCCATTATAGTAGATTCAAGCTTGCCTTAAGCAATTGTCACTCTCCAATCCTCTTTTTTACAGATGTGTTAGTTGATGGACAAATATCTGAATTTTCAATGATACCTCAAAGTTAGGAAGTCTAAAGCTAAACTCATTTTGCCATTGAGTGTACAAATTTCATTATTCCAATTTAAAAAATCACTGCATTTCCTTATTGGGTCATAGTCACAAACCTGGGGTTAGTCATAAATGTCCCTGTGTCTAGTATCTCCAGATAAAATTAGTCACCTTGTCTTGTAGGCTGTTCTTCCACCACCCTCCTTACACGTATTACCAAGTTGTGCCTTCTTACTGATATTCTGTCAGTTAGCCCCACATAGTGCTCCTACCACATTAATCTTAAAGCTTAACTCTGATCATTTCAAGCCATTGAGCTATTCAAGAACTTTTTATGTTTCTTCTTCTTTTGATGTAAGTACAGACTCCTTACCTTTGCATTCATGGCTTTCCTTTCACTGGTTTCAAAACATACTCCCAGTTGTTTTTTCTCACAATAGTCCATTTATTAGCAAGATTGGATGGCATGCTATTTCTTAATGTTACAGAACGTTCATTCTGCAATGGACATCTATGTTGAAACATCCATCCCTCTATGGACATCTCCTGTTGAAACTCCATATTCTTAAGGCCCTTCTCATAGTTAATCTCTTCCATGAGGAATTGTTCACTCTCTTATCAAATTTGAAATCTTTCTTTAATTCCTATTAGCACTCCATTCTTACTTTTTAAATTTATTTTATTCTATCTCATAAATGTTATTTATGTACTTGTTTTATCCTCCTTATAGAGTGTTGTTTTCTAAAGGAGAGGGTATCAGATTTACTCATGGTTTGAATACAGGAACACCAAGCTTACGCTAGCCAGTTATTAAGTACTTGTTGAAATCATTGTGCAAATCTGACTATTTGACTACTGTAGGAATATGTGATAACTGTGATGTAAAAATATTGTTAGAACTCTCTGCAAGCAAAGTTGTTTCCAATAGTCAGATAGCAAGTATCATTATACCCCCAAAATAGTTAAACTGGCTGATACGTGAAACAAGTACAGGATTTTTTTCATGGACAAATCCTAATCTCTGAGAGAGCTAAGAAAAGATACCAGGTCCTTAATATACCTCTTTTCCTGTTCATTTTAAACAGAGCCCTTTATATGCATGCAAACTGCTGCAATCATTTATTAAGTAGATTCAATCTCTCATTTTCCTTAAATCATCACTGATTTGAGCTTACTGTTTTCTCAATTTAGCCCTAAGAAAATTATGGCCAGTTATTCATTCTCTAATTAACCTAAAAGTGAACTATATTTCATTGCTTGTAGGATGGTATGGGAAATCTGAGAGTCACCAAGAAGGGAATCCGACTTGAAGGTATATCTGAGTTTCTACTTCCATTGTATGTGAAAGAAATTCATTCCCGAAAGGTATGTGATACTGGCTTTGGCTTACTGTAAAAGATAATTTAGAGGTTATGTTTTAGCTTGAAATAGGAGGCTAAAACCCCCTTATCTCTTCAGCATGTATTTAGTTTCCTTAAGCTAAAGATTGATTTGAAGAAATCAAAACAGTGAAACAATTGAAAAACCAGTGGAGAAGGTTAGTTTTAAACTGACAAATTAGAGAACCATTTTGAATTAAACTGCAATGTTGCTTTAGTCTATAAATTTGCCCCTCTATTGTTCAATAGAAGTAAAAAATACACAATTATAGTAATTTCAAAAGGGGCATTTGATACATCTTGAGTAATTTTTGCAGGAAACATTGACTTGAATAAATGGTTTTATTTTAATATATTATAAATCTTTTTAGCTCAAATGAACATGCTTTTTCTAAAAAAAGATGAGGAAGTGTCTTAGTATAGAAATTCCATTTATTTCTGGATGAACATTATTTAAAACAAGTAAGAATATTTACCCTTTCAAATGTGTGCGTGTGTGTATGTGTGCCTTATGGGTATTTTATCTCACTGAGCAGCATGCTAAAAATCAAAAGATTGTAGCTTAATCATTGTGCATTTTGGCTTCAGTGTGTTACTTTTCAGAAAGTAGCAAGTATTCTTGGGTACATGAAAATAAAACTAGAATCTTTCAAAATCTATTGGGCATATGTGTGTATGTGTGGAAATTTAGTAAGTCAGAAAAAATGAAAATCTTGTTATTATATAAAATGTGGAAAGATTATTAACCTTACTTCATAAATATGAAAGTCTATTTTAGACTAGTATAATTTTTAAATACCAATATAATGTATTAGCAAATGGGTTTCATAGTAAGCCATAGTTTAATAATTTGCTTCAAAGCTATTTTTCCCTTAAATATCGAAGTGAAAACAAAACAGAGGATTATTTTTATAAAACTTCTAATTAGGTTAATTATATTAACTTTAAATTTTATTTTATTCTGTATGAACCTGCAGAGCTTCACAAATACGTTATATTGATTGCCACTCTAGGTACTAGAATTTTACATTGAGGGATTACTTGCTGGATTTTGGGCAGATGAATAATATGATAGACACATGTATGAAAACCTGACCTTACTATAAAAACTTATTAAATTTAAAATAAAAAAGTTGTATTTTTGTTTTATTTTCTTTTTATGAAAACTAAAAGACTAACATCCATACCCAAGTTAGTGCCTTCCCTCCGACTGGACATCACCACCACTCACTTATTTACTGGCTTCTTCTTGTGGTTGGCACTAATAAACGGTTTAGTATTTGAGGAAATGAAAACTCATGCATGGAAATCAAGAAATTACTTAACACAGGAAGGTGAGAGTAATCATAGGCAGGAACGTCTTCGAAAATACATTCCACTGATAAGTCCAGGGATAGCAAAGATTTACCTTCGAAGCCATTTTAGATCAATTTGGAGTGGCTGCCTGGGAATCCAGGTTAGAGAAGGGTTGGTAAGCCCTTCGCCAGCAGGCAGGTCATAGAGTTTATCTTCCCAGCCAGAACATTTTTGAGAGTGTAACAACAGCTGTAAACCAGGATTCTCCTGGGAAACTGGGATATATGTTTACACCGTTAGTGGACCAAATAAGAGAGTCCACTAATATGTTAGCTTCAAAGTGTGAGCTGGTGGCCGTCAGGCTCTCTAACCTTTATCCCTGGGGAAGTTCATCACCTCAAGTTCATAAGCATTTCCAAAACTCACTGTGTTGATTGAGTTTTGCTCCTTCCACGTCCCAGACCTGTTGCTTGTCCTCACATCTCTTCTCTAATCGTTTGTCTCTCGGTGGTGACTGCAAAGCCTGGCACAGTGACAGCAGGTGGGACCATGTGTCCTCAACAGTCAGACAGGAGGCTAGGTGTGACAGGAGAAAAAATAGAGATTCATTTCCTCTTTGAAAATTTCTCTACACACACATTATGAACACAAATAAAGAGAAAAAAATGTCTTCTATAAACAGTTCCCGGGTTAGGATTCTTTTGTCCCTGAATGTATGCAGTTGTTCATTCTCTGCCATAAAGCCTATTCACTGTTTTAAAAAGCCAGCCACAGTTTCCCTGAGCCTGAGTTTTCTTAGTAATAAAGTGAGTTTTGTAGAAACTTATCAAAACACTTAATTCTTAGATTAAGAAAGAATACCAAAATTTCAGTAATACTAGTAGAAATGAGATTTTTCAAAACCCCATTATACATTTCAGTATTTACACACATTTTTGTGTATTCAAATGGTTTTTATGATAAAATATTAAAGTTCCTGTAGGTCTAAGTTAAAGAAATCTACTCAATTCAAAAGATACTTATAGAGATTCAGTTAAGATGAGAAAAATACTACTATTGTGTACAATTTTAATTTGTGTAAATTTTTTTCCTGCAACTTGATTTGTGTGTGTGTGTGTGTGTGTGTGTGTGTGTGTGTGTGTGTGTTCCTGAATTAATGTCAGTGGGTAGCTTTCTTTATATTTAGTTAGTATTCAACTCTGAAATAAAGAATTTTTTTATTTAAAATAACTTCCTGGTTATGTAGGAATTTAATCCCATACAACTAGACAGAATGATCTCTATTAATCAAAAAATGCAGTTGCCCACAGACACACACATCTAGCCTCCTAACCTAGTAAACCATGGGCTGTTTCTACTCTATGCTGACTCATCCCCTGCCCCTACCAGCAGATATCTATAGATATTTGAAGTTTATTATTATATATCACAGTTTATTCTCTTCTCCATGCTTTTAAGAAAGCAACCTTTTTAAAGTGGTCCATTATTTTCAGTACACAGGAAAATATTATATTCTATGTTTGAAATATCTGAAGAATCAATGTATCTTTCAGAATTAGCAACACTATTTTCAGGGAGTAAATACTTACTAAACATGAGTGAAGTTAAATATATAGTTTTCTTCAAGTAGGAAAAGTATGAAAGATATGGGATTTGGGACTACCTTACATAAATGATAATAATGAAAGTAAGATTTTGAATCAATATTCAATGCACATGATCTAACATGAGCTCAAAATCTTTGAACTGTCAGGAAATTAGGACGTGTAATCATCAGGCTTTTTTTTCCCCAGCGTTTCATGAGTCCGGAGAACTAAGGTGGTTAAATTACCTACATTTCACTGATTCTTGCCCGAAAAATTTGCATCATGCAGTTCTCTGGAACTTTTTGTGTTACCCAATCTCATCTGATATTAATTGGACAGCTTTCTTATTAATTTTTGTCTGTTCAAGTGTTCTTAATTAAGGTGATACCTCACTGTTGAACCCATCCCAGCATCCTTCGTGATGGACTGATAATTATGCAAGAGAACTGCTACCAGATAATTCCAATTCCTGTAACTCCACAGCAAAACAAAGTGAAATTTGAGCTCTTGGGACTCCTGTGTTAGCAGAGCTGGGAGTAAGGCCATGCTCTCCCCTTCATGTACAGTCATTTCACTTGGCCTCAAAGCTGGGATTCTCAGTTCTTGGTCACAACCAGTTTTTGGCCTTGTGTGTTCAATTATTCTTTATAGAGTTCAGACACAAAGCCATGGGGCCAGACAAACATAGCAAACTTCTTCCCTGCTTATTCAACATACCCAACCCCTGACCCTGTATCTTTCAGGTACCTTGGCAAATCTCCTCCATGCAAATAAAGGAATATCTGCAAGTTTGTGTAATCATTTTATTATCATCATTATTATCATTATCATTTTATATTTAAGTGTTTAATTGTGTATTATTTTGCTATAATGTCTTTATTCAAGTTAAAAACACATATCACCCCCAAAATTTTTACATTCAGAAAAGAAACCATTAACATATGATAAACATCATCCCAACTAGATAATTACACATCTGCACCAAAAAAAAGGGTAAGTATAGAGACAGACATGTACATGCTATTTTAATTAATATATATTTAATTAATATATATTTAATTAATATATATTTAATTAATATAATTAATATATATTAATATATAATTAAATAAATATATTTAGTTAATAAATAATAACACATGCTTTAATAAATGAAAAATCTGAAATTAATGGGAAAGCATTGCCGAGCTTAAATATTTCTTTATCACAAGAATTTTTTTTAAAAAAACTTGTCTTTATGGTTAAGATTAAAAGACTGAATATCATTAAGAAGCTGGATGCATTAACTCCAGTGTTCATTAACTCCCTGCAGTGCAATGCAAGGTGATTAGCTCCTCTCCAATTTGTCCTTACCCCTCTTCATTTTCAATTTTTTTGATAATTATATTATTTTAACTTTGTCAGTATTCATAATATTTACATTCTGTTCTGCAACTTTAATTGCGTTGGCACTTTGGTCTTAGTTCTACAGATAGATGGCTGTGGTACTAACCATCAGCTCCTTTTATTATGGCTTCTTCATGACTGAGTTCGTTATTCCAATCATTTCTTCCTTACTTGTATTTCATTGTTAATTAGTTTTGTTTGTTAACCCTTAAAATATTTCAGGCTGAAGGTGTCTCACTGATGTCTTTATTCTTTTCTGGGAGTATTATTAATGGTTCATCCCTTCTTTTCCTGTTAACTGATTGCTCTCTTCAATTCCACCACTGAATATTGCCATAAAAAGTTTGTGGGCCGCCTGGTATGTTTCTCCTGCTGATGACATGAACTTTCTGCCTAGATGCCTGATACATATTTGCCATTTTATTTTAGGGAGATGTTATCTAGTATATCACTCAATATCTTTCATTTTCATTTGCTTAGAGCTTCAATTCAGAGAAAGCAATAATTCTTGTGTTGGATCATCTTTGTCATCCACAGCTATCATAATTCCTTTAATTATTTTTAAACTATTGTTCCTCTGAATGCAAGTAACTGTCATTATCTGCAGTCTTTCTTCCATATCTTTATTTTTCCTCACATGAATTTTGCCCTTGCTCTAATTCTTTTATTTTATGTATAAGGGTATTGTTCTGATTATTGGAATTTTCCATACATCCAT